AACCTGGGTTTGCTGTCTGCCTCGGGAATACCAATGGAATCTTGACAGGTGTTCTGCGAAACCACCAGGAATTGTGCAAAGGTCAAAAACATGTTCCGTGTTCTGTTTTGTTTCAGATGGGCGTTGAGATGTGTGCGTCCCGAAGCAACGGTGCAATCCTGACATCTCGGCTGGGGTTCCCTTTCTTGGATTTACTGAGAGTCCGCTATTTTGTTCAGCGGAACAGCCTAACTTAATGGTTACTGGACATGACCACATACAATGTAAATGATGTCCCTAAAGGGGTCGTCTCAAAATGAAGTGTTGCTCCTCCAAACTGCTTGGTGTTTCCTTGGGTTCCTCTTTGGGCACTTAAAGAGGGGTCACCCTCTTTCCAGCAATCGACGTGGACAGGGAGGCTCGATCCCCCAAGGAACGTAGTCTTCCCAAACCTGCGATCGTCAGCTTCCACGTTTGTTGGAGACAGGCTATTTAGAAACAATAAACATCCCCTGCCAAAATGTGTGGGATCCCCAAGATGCGGGAGCCCCAGAATGTGGGATCCACAAAATGGTTTTGTTTTGGTCCCGTACCCTAGCATGGAGGCGACCCAGAAAAGAAGAAGCCCACGCGTTTTCACGTTGCAGGACGGGCGTTTGGAGATCTGGGTGGGCAACGAGGTGAAACCTCCCAGTGATGAAGAAGGCGAGAGGAAGCCGAACGTTGGCCTCGATCGAGCTCTCTTGCGGGCAGAAGGTTGGGCAGACTTGTCAAGGGAGTTGCTGATGGCCTTTGTTCATTCAGGCAATCAAACTGTCACGCCAATTCCAGCAAGCAACCAAATTGCCTCCCAGCCCACATAGGTGTCCATTGTTTAGGTTAGTTTGATGAGCATTAGATAGGTGCCACATAATTTATGCCCCATTTGCAAGGGGCCATCTATTTTTGCAAGAGGCCACATACCGTGAATGAACAAAATCCTGCACCACTTTGAAAGCATGGGAAACCATTGTTTGCTGGTATTTACAGGGTAATCATCAGTCCAGGGCTTTTTTTTAGGTGGTGCAGGAATCCACAATATGTTGGCATGTACCGTACAGGGGGCGGGGGTTGTTTTTTCCTGTCCCTGGTTACCTTCAAGGGACACTAAACCTGTTTGCTTTGTGTCTGTTTGATGATTTTTTGCGGCCCTCTATTCTGAGTGGATTTTGGGATATAGCCTGGGAACTCTTTTGAACAGCCTTGGCACTTTAGCCTTTGCATTTCCAGAGTCCCAGGGGTCATTTTGAAGGTACCCCTTTGAAATGCTGCCCTATGAAAAGCAACCACATGTAAGGCGCATCCGTTTGAGGACAAATCCGACATCCCATGGTCTTGACCCGTACTCCTAGGCATAGTCCTTACAAGCTTTGATGATGATGAGGATGATGATGAGGATGAGGATGAGGATGAGGATGATGATGCAGCGATTCAGACATTGACGACACTTGTGCTGTTGACATCAGCCTTGATTGGGTCCATGTGGTTTCCTGAATGTGTGTTGGATTCGCGTGGCACAGTCAGAACATGCGGGTGTGGCTAAAGGTTCCTGGCCCAGGGGACCGAAGATCTTGGTGTTTGCTCTACAAGCCGGGGGAAGTACTCGATTGAGCCACAGCAACGTTTTCTTCTGGTAGGACAGAAATGGCCGGCTTTGGATAGCTCCGGGCTCTAATTAAAGAGCTTGACTCTTCATTAGCTCCGGGAATGTTTAGGCTAGAGTACCGGAAGTGGTTTCCAACGAGACATGTTCGCCCTACCCCCACCGTCTATGTCAAAACTCGGGGCCACAGCGCACCCCTTTCAAGGTGACCCATGTCCGCCGTGTTAACCAGACGATGGGGCACCCGCTTCTCCCATGTATGAGACCATAGGAATCATTTGGGCCAACAAGAGGCTGGTTTCGCCACGAAGAACAATACTTTGGTGCATTTTGCTTGGATGTTAGGACTTTAACTTTTTGCCAACTAATGGGTTTTCCATTAAACCACTTAAACTTTTAGCAGGAGAGCAGAAAGCAACCAAGAATAGTTTTTTGTTTACATCAAGCCTTTGCAGTAACAAGGGGCTGATAACAAGAGCTCATATATTTACACATACATCCAGTTGTGATCATCGCTCCGAGTTTAATGTGTCCCCAATTCAAAGACATGAAAACCATTAAATGGCCCACCCATGTGGCCGGTCCAGCTTCGCTTTTTGCTTGGGTTCACTGGACATGGTCCCCCAAAAGGGACCAACTTTTTTGGGGAGGCAGGTGTCCCTTTAAATTCCACCCACGAAATTTAAAAAAGAAAAAAAACACAAAAAACGGAAAACAACAGTAAATGAAAACGAGAAACAGGTGCCTTTTTTGTCATAGAACTACGGGTCTGTCCCTTGGGTCACCTGCGTTGCGAGCCTGCGAACCTCGCCAGTTGCTGATGGCAAGACTGCCAGCGATCTGGCGATGGTAAAAGCCGGCCAGTGGATGCATGCTGTGTCCTCAAGGGCCAGGGATCCAGTTCTGTTTTGACTTGGCCATATCCTTACACTCCCTCAGACTAACATGGAAGCTTCCAGAAGGCCTTTGCAAATGGAACAAGTCTTCGAAAGGGTACTGGGAGCTTCCATGTTAGTCTGGGGGAGGGTAGACTTTTGGACGTCCAGAGTGGAGAGCTGTTTATGACATATTCAACTAGAAGCCTAGCTTTCAGCAAGGGATCAACGAACCAGTTTTACATTTGCACACTGTCCAACTAGCATTTTGATCGCATGCGTCGATGCGGAGAGCACGTGCAATTATCAGCAAGATATTTTGGATTTCAATGCCAACCCCGGGCTTAACCAATCTGGCGGATGAATAGAGAGCTACCAGGGGATTGTTAAGAAATTGGGTTTCCATTGCCACGTCGCAGAATTATCCCTTGAACACAGCCTTTTGAATGCCGACCATTGATATGTCTCATGTATTTTCAAGCTGAGAAGGTTAGCACGATGCCGTTGAGCAGCTTTGGCTTTTTTTGCCTGTTGTGTTGTCCAGTTTGGGACATGTTTCTTCATGGCACGTTGAGCGCTGAATGTGTAACAAACACGATGAAACCTTGGGGTTCCTGTTCTGCGTTTCTGTCCAATCTGGGATACCCCAAATTGTCAGTTTTCCTTTGGTATGCCTTTAAACCAAAGTTCAAGGTATGTCAACCGGGCCCCAACGCAACCCAGACTCCGACTGACCAGAGCTCACATGGAGGCCTCATACGATCTTTGGGCTGAAGAATCAAGTTGCTCCGTGTACCCTTCGACGAACTGGAAGATCAAGTTCCTCTTCACTGGAGCCTTGTCAGGGGCCGTCTTAGTGGGACGCAGTGTAATCCATGTGTAAGTTTTCCTGTTCTTGAGGTGCCCCTACAAATTGTCAACCATAAAACGTCTTCCCTTCTCTACTAGAGCCACTGCACACATAGTGAATCTATCTAAATGACCGACCTAGAGGCATTGAGCACCGCATGCAGCAAACGATGTTATCTTCAAGAATCACTGACCAGCTTGAGGTCTTTATCTTTTTTCGCTAATGATACGGGTCTGTGTTTTGGAGGCTCGGTACGCATGCTTGGGTTGTTTTAAGGGGAACCGCAAAGCAACCAAAGCAATTCAGTTGGGGAAGGGCTGGGGACACCCCCTGTGGAACTCAGGTGAGCCTTAACCCGGGGACCACTTGGATGCCCCTGCCATATGCAACACCAACCATACACCTCTGACTTCCATGGATCTCCAAGTTCCATGACTCCATGACTTGCGATATTTGGCATCTGAACCATGGCAAATCACAGATTTTCCCTGGTCTCTGTCCCTTGCCAGAAGGCATGGGCATTCACCATAGCCCGCTAGCAGCTTAGCACATTCGCTGAGGTGGTGCTGTCCATCCAGCACCGATCCGTGTCTGCCTACTTGCAGGCGCGCGAGTTCCAGTTCTATCATGGTGCAAGGACAGTCAGTTGGGTTGTGTTGAAGAGGACAATGTTGCAGGTGGGTGGAAAACCCAATGATAGAATGACCTGAGCAATCAAAAGCGTCCTACTAGAATTCGTTCGAACATCTAGAAAAGAGCTCGAAGGCTTGCTTCCCGAAGCAGCCAAGACGGCTTGACACATCTAACACATTGCTCATTCTGGGACAACTACATTTGCCCTCCAGCCCATGGAAGCTGACTGGAGGGTTTTGGAAAACTACGGTCCTTTTGAGCCCCCCTCACTTGGAACTCACGGCGCGGGCTGCGGGGGCTGCGGGCTTTGCGCACTGCGTGGGCATGTTGTTTTGCAGGCAAGTGAGATGCGAGTGATCTTCACGGAATACTCATTCTGTGATTTGTGGGTTGATGCACCCCATCCTCGGACCCAACGTGGCTGCCTGATGAGAAGATCAAATATCAGGCTAGTGACGTGGCCCTTGCGTTTCCAGTGTGTGTGTGTGGATTCATTTGCTTTGTGTGGGTGGTCTGCTTGGTCTTCTTCTTTGTTTGCTGTGTTTGTTTGAAGTGCGGGCGCTCATTTGTGCGCCCCAGACGGACCTACCGCTTACGAGAACCTTAATTGCCGGCCCTAAGGAATCATAAGCTCAACCTGGCAACGATTTCACTAGTAAGCTCTCAGGCCACTTGATTCTGCCTGTAACATCCTGTCCACATGGAACCTGGCCGAGGGGTCCTTCTGAGATTCTGCTGGGTTCCATGTGGCCGGGAGGGTATTTGTTTCCCGTGGCCGCACGAAATTTCGAAAGTTCCCGAAGATCCCGAAGGAACTGCCAGCTTTACAGGTTGACTCTGCATTCTGTCAACCGGTCTTTTCAGGGAACGAAGGAGTTCGGAAGGCCATGGGGCTCCGCCCGGGTCCAAGTACGACACTTTTGTTTCAAGTACATCCGTAACCAAGAAAACCTCTGGACACAGACCCCCAGATCAAGAAAGCGTGGCTCAGTTCAGTGCTTCTTCCTGCGACTCGAGCCACGCCACGGAACTTGGTTAGCCATATTCCCATAAGACTTTTCGACCCGTGTTTAGAGGGATGTATGACAAGTCCAATTTTTTAGAGGGATTCTTTCAGGTCCAAGTTTTAGCAAGGACTCATGACAAGTCCAAGTTCCTCAAGAAGCTAGCTTAAAACGCGCAAAACCATGGCACTTTTGGGGGAGCCCTTCGCTTATAGCGCGCAAAACTCAAGATGCGGCTTGTGAGAAGTTTGGCGCGAGACCCGACGACCCGAGTCGCAGGGGGAGAAAGTGGTGGACGCAAAGCTCCAGGGACGCATGCAGTTCTCCTCTCTGACGCTGGGGGGCTCAGCTGGTGGTTTCGCTCAGCGACCTTAGATGGTTGCAGGGGAGTTCGGAGATAGCAGTTCTGCTTCGGTCCGGAAGTGCAATTAAGGACAAAAACTTTACACGAGTTCACGCGCCTTTGCGGTGCAGGGAATTCCTTTGTTGCAAATGGGGAGGCATGCTCCACATGGGTATGGGTCAAAATTAAGCCACTAGGAATTGGACCGCAGGTTTTAGTCCATGATTTTCCATTTACCAGGGCAACCCATTTTGGGTACATAGTTTTGACCCACAGCCAGATCCTTGGAGGAAAAACACAAAAACATTGTGGGGTTCCTTTGGGTGATCCCTTGAAACCAAGGCTAGGTCCCCCAGTAGTGCCCTTTTACCCTTTTTTGGGGGAGGGTTCCCCTAAAATAGACCACAGAAAAAAGGGTACCCTTTTTCTAACCTCTCTACTGGAGGACCTAGAAGGTGAAAAGGGTGCCTTCAGATATCCTTTGTCCAGCAATCATGAAGACAGGAGGTCTTGTCAAGATGATCGTCTTGAACCCCCTTTTGTCCGCTTCTATGTTGGAGGCAGGGCAACGCCGTGCCCCGACATCAACTAAGGACATGCAGCTTTGGCCGAAAGCCATGTTGAAGGGTCGGTTTTTGTGCCGAGGCAGTGCTTTACCGGGTCCAAGTGATTGTCTCCTAGGATTCTCGAAATTTTGCCACGCTTCTTTCTCCTGGCATGGAATCAAACTGCCGAAAGTTTTGCCTCAACCCAGCAGTTGAGGGTTTGGCAGTGCATGAAGAGATGTCCCACTCAATTACCTTTGGCCTTTTCCACCCCAAAGAGCCAAACCTTGTCTCAAATAGAGACCCCCCAATTTATATCTAGCCTCCAACTTTGATCACCAACATGGCAGCCCCTCGGAAAAACGAGCAGAAGCTCACGACGTCGCCAACACGAGGCCAGAGCCGCAGCGGGGAGTGTGCTTTGTGGGCTTTCCGCCCCCAGACATCCTGCGGTACCAAAACTCCACCAGCATCATGGAAGGCAGGGCTCGCGCATCACCGCGGGTCGCCATGCCGCCCTCTTCTTTCAACGCGCTCAAGGCGAATGCTTTGATCACGAGGCAAAATATGTTTTTTGCCAAGGACTCACACCCGCTGGGGGAGGGGGCATGGGAAACTTGGTCTTCAGGCCATTTTCCGTGATACCTCCCTTGGTATCCCCCTCGAAATGAGTTCTCCCTCTACAAACCGTCGGGGTCATTGCGACAGTTCGCTTGCTGTCTGCGCGAATGCTAGTCCCTAGGTGGTTTGGGTCGGTTTGGTGGTTGCAGGGGTTCCTTCCCAGTTTGCACAACAAATGCTGTGGATGGACGAAATCCTGCACCACCGAATAAATCCTCATTTCAGATGACTCCCCTGTGAATACCGCAACAAGCAATGGTTTCAACCATGGATTCCTTTCGTGGTGCGAAATGGTTTTCGTCCATCCACAGGGCTCCAATTGCAACGGGGCGGTCGGATCTTCGGATCGCAGGCCTCATTGCCCACATGACCTACCACGATGAAGGGCTCACCAAGAGCCAGGTCTACGATGCCTACTTCCGGCGCCAAGCTGAGTTCAGGGTGCGAAACAGGGGGGGATAGCGGAGCAGTGGCCATATGCGGAAAACATCGCAACATTCAGTGTTTGAGGCTCTGTAGGTTGTTCCATGGTTTTTGCGGAGTCTTGGGGATGTGGAGATGTCACAAGATTTGCCAGTTGTTGCCTTTTCGGTAGGCACACAAATTGGCGACCTTCCCCTCTGGTTGGGCTTCAAATGAAAGCAAGGAAACCAGAAGGAAACCAGGCGGTTTGAAGGTCCCCTAGCTTGAGAAACACGGAGAGAGACTGGAAGACATTGGAACTCCACCCGCATACAGTCCAGCGAACCCCCCCCCAAGAAAAAAGAGAGGGTGGTGTGTGTGTGTGTGTGTGTGTGTGTAACTCGGTTTCCCTTTAAAGCAACCCTAAGAAGGGTACCCGTCAAAAATGATCTGCCCAGACATAAATAGATGTATGTATTTGTATTAACTTTAGAGCCTCCGGCTCAGCCCGCCGACATTGTCCTCTCCCTTTTCTCCTTCTTCCTCTCTTCCTTGTCTCCCTTGTGTGTTCTGTCGTCCTCTCTCCCTCCCTCTGCTCCCATCCTC